AGGCCCCTTGGGAAGGCTCCTTGGGAAGGCCCCTTGGGAAGGCTCCTTGGGAAGGCTCCTTGGGGAGGCTCCTTGGGGAGGCTCCTTGGGAAGGCCCCTTGGGAAGGCCGGGCTACGTGGGGACACGGCCACGCTGCCCCTTGTGCAGATGGCGGTGCTGGAGATCCAGAGCAACGGGGACACGCGGGTCTCGGAGGAGGCCATCGTGCGCGCGCGGCACTCCTTGGACGATCCCAACATGCGGGTGAGCGCGGACGGGGCTCGCTGGCTTGCGTGGGGGTGGGAAGGGCCGTTCCCGGCACCGGGCCAGACCCGTGGGCTCGCCGGGGTCCACCTGCCCACACCTCTCTGGCTGGTTCTGGTTCTGGTCCTGGTTCTGGTCCTGGTTCTGGTCCTGGTCCTGGTTCTGGTCCTGGTCCTGGTCCTGGTCCTGGTTCTGGTTCTGGTCCTGGTTCTGGTTCTGGTTCTGGTTCTACTCACCGGCTGGTGGAGCGTGAGTGAGAACTTCCTGCTCACATGAGGCAGAGTGCAAATTTGCACTATAAATACTTCGGGATCGTGTTTAATAAGAGAATAGAGCAGCTGGAGGGGATCAGACGCAGTGCACAGCTAGACAAGCACATGGACCAGCCACGTGCTCACCTTCATCCTAGAGGCTGCCCCTTCATCCTCCTTCGTTTTCCCCCCATAACCACTTTGATCCCCCCCCTTTCCCCTCAGCCCTTGTCTGCAGCATCTCACAATAAGTTTGTACAGTCCCGAATCCTCCTGTTTGATCCCAGATTTCCCCCAGGCATCCCATAGTAGGTTTTATCCCTCTGTACTCAGTAGTCRCCCGCAGTTCACCCGATTCTCCAAGGGGAGTTTCTGACATGGGCCCCTTCGCGCCAGGCACAAAGGCTTCCCTGTTCCCCTCCCTGGCTTTGGGAGCAGCCGATTCCAAGGGATTCGGGTTTCCGGGAGCCCCACCGTGTCGTTTTCCCTCTGATCACTGCGTGATTTTTGGCATCTCCCGCATGGGGCTTCTCCAGGGATGCGGACCAGCTCCTGGGAGGGGACGGGACGGGAACGTGCTGCTTGGCCCCCAGCTCACGCCTCCCCTTTGGACCGTAGGAATTCATTCTGTCCTGCTTGACCTTCAATCCAGACAAGCGGCCCACCGCCAATAACCTGCTCTTCCACCGGGTGCTCTTTGAGGTCCACTCCCTGAAGCTGCTGGCAGCGCACTGCTTCATCAACAACCAGTGTGAGTAGCACCCCGAACCCACGCCGCCGCCCACGTTTCCTGCCCCGGCACAGCCGGGGACGCAGAGGAGCTTGGACTGGGCTTGTAGGTCCCGCCTGGGGACTGTGCACAGAGCCCACGTGCAGAGGAGCTGCCAGTGACGCCGCTCRCTGCCTTCATCCTAGATCTGATGCCTGAAAACGTGGTGGAGGAGAAGATCAAGGAGCTGGACCTGAACATGGTGATGGCAGAGATCCGGAGAGAGGGTCAGCCTGGCGTGCAGTGGAGGTGAGGGAGGACGTGGAGCAGCCCCGTGGCCAGCCTGGCCATCCTGGTGCCGTGGCATCAGTCCTTCACGCTGCTTCCCTCCTCATTCCTCCGGTGATCCTTCCCTTCCTGTTTATCTCCTAGGTACTCAGAGGTCTCTTTCCTTGAGCTGGACAAGTTTCTGGAGGATGTCAGGTGGGTTGGGGAGGTCCCTGTGATCCAACCACGCGCCCCGTTCTTTGGGCACGTGGATCCTTGTGCTTCAGAGGTGCAGACCGGCTTAGCATCAGTCTGCCCCAGAGGCCTTGCCAAGCTCTGGGTGATACATGGAGGGTGGCAKCTGGGTCTGTGCCGGTCCTGCCAGGCACCGTGTTAACCGGGGCGCAGGGCTCAGCTCGTCACCTCTCTTCTCCATGGCAGGAATGGGATCTACCCCCTCATGAACTTTGCTGCGTCCAGACCCCACGCCCTCCCACGTGTTCTCTCGCAGCCCCAGGAGGACCCCCAGAAAGCCAAGACCCCCACCCCAGAGCCCTTCGATGTGGAGACCAGGAAGGTAAGGCCGTGTCCGGGAGGGCGCAGCTTCCGTGCTGGTCCTGGGAAGTCCTTGCTCGCCAGCCCGGGAACAACCCTCCCTTTGGCCAGGCACTGACGTCCAGCCTGGTGAGAACGTTTCTCCTTGCTCTCTTCATTGCTCTGAGATATTGATGCTCCCTTTGGCTGGTGCTGGTGCAGTCCATTGCACCMGGGACCTTTTGGAGCTGTTGGGTCTGGTTCTTCATCCCGGCGTTGCTCTCACTTTCACAGGCAGCTTGGTAGCACGTTGTTTGGGTTTGAAACCCTTCCATGGCTTGCTACTGACACAGCAGCAGTGTGTTGAGATGCCAGCTGGGACCTGGCAYCTCAACCAGTGCCTGGTTGTGAGCTGGTTGGAGGCTCCTTTGAAGAACAAAAGCTAGAGAAGCGGCTTTGTTAGAAGAGCCTGAGAATGGGGTGGCTTGGGCTGGGAGAGACGAGACGGAGCAGGAATGGGCTGAGGGGTTTCAGCATGGGACACCCATCCTCTGCCACTTGGGCAACAGCACAAAACGTAACCGGCCCAAACTGCAGCGAGGATATTGAGATGAGGCCTCTGATGGCAGTGAGAGCCAAGAGGCAACTCGGGAGCCGCCTGTTCCTCACGGCTGGAAGTCTAGCACGGGTTACACTAACGCATCGGATGTAGTTGGATATAGGCGAGCCTGGATGACTTTGATAGCTCTGTCAGACCGAGTTTTCTGTGATTTTTGGTGGCACCAAAGCTTGCTGCATGCTCCTTTACTGATTTACTGCACTCTTAATGCCACAGAGCAAGAGGTGAGATGTTAGGTGTAGGATCTCCAGGACAGTCTTTGTCCTGTAGGCTCCTGCATTTCACCTAGTGTCCCCGCACGGAGGGTAGGTTGTGCGGTTGCCTAGGGCTGGTGCTCAGRAAGGGTTAGGTGGGGCTTAGGAAGGGTCAGCGTGGGCTTGAGAACACTTGGCCATCACCGAACGATGACTTCTCTGCAGAGCAGGTCCCAGTGATCAGTCGCTTCTAGTGAGTGAACTAACTGTTCTTCACATTTCCCATTCAGACTGCTCTGGACTTGGTTTCCACTTGGGGTCTTGTCCTGTCTGTCAGTCATTCAGTTGAAAAGGGTCTTCCAGAAGCCTCCAGTCCAATCTCCCACTCAAAGCAGGGCCAACAGTGAGTTCTGGCCAGGTTGCTCTACACAGTTGTTGGGTCTTGAAAACTCCCAAAGATGGAGACCCCGCACTCACTCACCCGTAATCCACCGCTTAACTGTCCTCACAGTCCTAACATTGTCCTCGTGCCTGTCCAGAACGTCTCCTGCTCAGTTTGTGATGATGTTCTCATCACATCTCTGCGCAGAGTCCTGCTCCTTGGTGTAACCCCTTCCTGCTGTGCACAGGGGGACATCCCTCATCCCTCCAAAGCTTTCATCCCTCCAAAGCTTTCCCCACTCCAGGCTGTGTTCCTTTGGCCTCTGCTTACACAGACAGCACTCCAGCACTTCACCATCTTGGTGGCCCTGCACTGAACTCACTCATTTTTCAGGCTCTTTTATTCTGTAGGCAACTTATCTCTCATTCTTCASTAAAATAAATTAAGAAGAACCAACTTTTTAAGTAGATAAGGCATGAGCTTCAGTCCTCAAAGCATTTCTAGGGCTCCTTCCTGAATGTCCTCCCATTTTTCAACAACGCTTTATGGAAAGGTGAGATCCCACACATTCCTTGCCCAGGTCGTTCTYACATCCATTCTCACAAGCTGTCTTTTCCACAGCATCCTGCCAGAAGCTCAGGCTCAAGTGAGCTGTATCCCATCGGGATGAGTTCCCTACTGCCTGACCAAGCTGTGAGATGTGCTGTGGGTGTCTGGCTCCAAAATACATCATTTTAGAGGTAGCTCTGGGAAAAGCTGCCCACTGAGTGGGCACTTGGATATCCCCAAGTGTCCCCATCATTAAACACCCAGGCCACTGTCTTCACGTTACAATGGACAGGGCAGACTAYGAATCCGTATTTGCATCAAATCAGTGTCAAAAATGCGGCATGGGGCTAAACCTGATTCTCATTCCTCTAAGATCTGCAGGAAACGCCTCCCGTCAAGAAGTCTACCTGAGCAGCRGTTTCTTGACGTACGTCAGAAGATCAGCTTTGGGTGCACTCACTGTGTGCTTCATCCACACTGCAGAGTGCTGGGTTTTAATGGAGATATTGTGGTGCTCATCTGGATTAGGGAGATGCAGACCTATGCCAACCTAGGTTTCTCCCCACCTTTATTTATTCTACGTTACGCTTCATCCAGTGACTTGAGGAAATAGTGCTCTGCAGGTGCGTTGTCTGTCCGACCAGTTGAGCGACTATTAAAAAACAAACAAACGTGGTTTTAGCCCCATACGGCAAAGGAGTGGTCATCTCAGAAGCACCGAGTTTCCTCAGGTCTCCTCTTGCAGCCGGCAAACTTGGTGTCTTGCATAAGTGCAGCCTGARGCAGCCTCTGCAGCTGGACGGGCCGCTGCAGAGCCCGTGTCCCAGTGCAGCTGCACGGCTGCAGAGCATGCAGAGCATGCAGAAGATGCAGAACATGCAGAAGATGCTGTGGATGCAGGACGGTGTGGTGGGGACATGAGCACCCGGAGGACCATGGGGACATCCATAGGGAACCTGGTTCCCTTCGCCCCGCTGCGGCACAACAGCTCAAGACACTGACTTATCTTCTACTTTGCCAGTAACCTGGATAGCATTATTTTTTAGCTGTTGTCTTTCTTAAGTACAGAATCAGGGTTTTTRAACAACTGGTTAATTTTCTTTTAAGTAGCTCTGAATTTTAGTCAGGTTTTCTGCATTTCGTGAGGTTCATCAGGGACCTGATGCCAAGAGTGGTCCTGCCGCAGGGCACGGACCTTGGCGAGCCTCTGTCTGAGAGGTGCCAAGCCCGTGTGAGACCCCGTGGTTATGACTTATCATCAACAACAGTTTAGTTAAAGCAAAATGAACCCGAGAGCCTTCTAYGATGGGCTGACTGGATGGGGGGTGAGCCATGGATGTTGTCTACCCTGATTTCAGCAAGGTTTTCGACACCATCTCCCATGAGAACCTCATGGGGAAGCTCAGAAGTGAGGACACAGAGAGGTGGATTGAGAACTGGTCAAGCTCATTTATCACCGAGTGGTGATAAATGGGGCCGAGGCCAGTTGGAGACCTGTGGCCATTGGTGTCCCCACGGTCCAATGCTGTTCAACTTGTTCATCAATGACCTGGATGAGGGCACGGAGTGCACCCTGAGCAAGCTTGTGGATGATCCCAAGCTGGGTGGAGTGGCCGACACTCCGGAGGGCTGTGCTGCCGTCCAGAGGGACCTGGACAGGCTGGAGAGTTGGGCAGAGCAACCTCATGAGGTTCAACAAGGACAAGTGCAGGGTCCTGCCCTGGGCAGGAATAACCTGTGGCACCAGCACAGATCAGGGGTGACCTGCTGGGGAGCAGCTCCACGGAGAGGGACCTGGGAGTCCTGGGGACACCAAGGTACCCATGGGGCAGCAGGGCCCTGGTGGCCAAGGAGGCCAATGGGCTCCTGGCTGCATCGGGAGGACGTTGGCAGCAGGGCAGGGAGGGATCCTGATCCTGCCCCTCTGCTCAGCCCTGGGGAGGCCAAAGCTGGAGCGTTGGGGGCAGCTCTGGGCTCCCCAGGACAAGGGGCACGTGGAGCTGCTGRAGAGGGGCCAATGAAGGGCAACCAAGGTGATTAAGGGCCTGGAGCAGCTCTGGTGTGAGGAGAGCCCGAGGGGAGGATGGAGGGAGGAAGGGGCCAAGCTCTTCCCGGTGGTGGCCGGTGCCGGGACAAGGGGCCATGGGGACAAGTTGAACCCCGGCAGCTCCGTGTGCCCGTGAGGAAGAAGAAGGTGAGTGTGAGGGTGSCCGAGCCCTGGGTGAGGCTGCCCRGGGAGGCTGCGGAGGCTCCTGCTCTGGAGAGCTCCCAACACGCCGGGATGCGCCCGGGTGCTCCGGGTGTCCCTGCTGGAGCAGGGGCTGCACGGGGGGATCCCTGGGGATCCCTGCCGACCTCAACCCTTCTGTGATTCTATGAAAGAGTTTTGAGCCTCTTGTGGCTTCCTAAATACATTCCATCATTCATTCCAGACATCACCCTAGCCTAGTTAGACCACCGTGCTGGATTTCTGCTGTTCCTGGCAAGTCTGCTGTGTCCTAAGCTGCATCTCCCCGCTTGCCGCCCGGCCCCACGGGTGCTGCTCGGGGCTCCCTGGCAGGGATRCTGCCCATCTCCTGGCACCCATCCCTTCAGCTGGGGGAGCTCCCCCTTCCCTGCCCGTTTTCAGGAATGTTATAACTGCCCCAAAGGGCTGCACCAGAAAACCACTCTTTCCTGGAAATAGACRTGCCCCGTGTCTAGAGACTCACTTGCATCTCCCTTAGTTTCTAGATAAAATGAAAATTTAGTCGTCTTCCAGCAGAGCTAAGGGTACATTCCTGACTAGACAAACACGTCAGAAAACAKTTAAAAATAAGAAAAAGAAGATGCACTTAGAAAACAGGTTCCATGCTGCTGCTCTCCTACCTGCCCCTGTGATACTGCCAAAGCCGTTGACCCCATGGCCAGTCCGCTGGCATCGGCCACAGGTGCCAAATGGGACCATCGACCCCATGACCAGTCCACTGGCATCGGCCACAGGTGCCACCTCCGAATGGGACCATTGGCCCCATGGCCAGTCCGATGCCACCTCCGAACGGGACCCATCGCGATACCCAGTTGAGACGACAGCCACTTTTGGAAGTGAACCCTCAGACCAGTTCTGGGGAACCTCCACCTGTCTTTTGCTAGAGTAGTTTATGTTACCGTGTCCAGTTTGTCATTTTCTGTCACTTTTGTTTTTTTCAAGCCATCGTAACTGATACAAAATGTTGGAAACTACCTTATTTTGTATTCTTTGGTAGAGGAGGATCTAGAAGGAGATGATGGAGTCAGAGAACATGCCTAGGTTACATGACTGAGTGGTGRGGTAGATGATGGTGTCCTCCATGGTGCTGGAGAAAGGAGAGAGGATGTGGATTCGAGCACGATGTGGCTTCAGGAGCAGGCTGAGGATGCCCATTCCCACACCGGGGCTGTGTTGGGCAGCACCATGCCCAGGGCAGGAACCCATGGGGAGCAAAGTGGTTTCTAGGCACCTTCTGCCCTCGCGGTAGCATCATGAGCCTATGTAGATGACTCGGCTTGGGCTGGCAGAAGACTTAGGCAGTCTCTGCGCTGTGTGGATGTGGCCTAAGAGCTCCAAACAAATGGCAGCCTGTAATCCCATTGKATTTACCAATTTGCTGCATTTATCAGCCACGAAGGGCTCTGCAGTGGCCACATTGCTCTGAGCACTGAATCTGTGACAGGCACAGGGAAGACTCCCAAGCCTGGAGAAGAGCTGGGTCAAGCGGCCGAGGGCCRCAAGAGGTTGATCTTGGCACAGTATTTGAGCTGGATCCAAACCCAGCCAACAGGCCAAGGAGGGTGACCAACGGAGAAACACCCGTTTTGGTGCAGAGCAGCTGCTCCTTTAGCTGTTCCACGTGTCTTCCTGGCATGAAAGCCTCAGCGCTTCCCTGGAACAGTTGGCTTTCTTCGTCACCATAAATGCCATTCACCCTTCGTTCCCTGGGAGTGCTAAAAACTGCTCGGATGCTGCAGAATGTGGATAAAATGCCTTGGGCCAGCATGGCCTTTGTGATTTGTTCCTCACTRTTTTGTGGAGACTGCAGTGATCCTAGGGTTTAGGTAGAAATTCGGGAGCGATCTCCGAGGAYGTAAGCAGAGCAGCAGCGCGGGAGCTGGGGGGCCCGTGGCTGGGCTGATGTTCTTCTGGCCTCTTCTAGGTGGTGCAGATGCAGTGCAACATGGAGCTGAACGAAGACAAGACCCAATGGCACGTACGTAACCGGTCCCCAAACCCCCCAAAATGAGGCACTGGGGCAGGACCTSGCATGAATTTGGGGCTCCCCAGTCTGTTCCAGTAGCCAGCGGACCCAGTCAGCGTTGAGAGCGGGATGCTGGGGCTCATGGACACAGAGCGCCAGGCAGTTTAGCAGGAGACGTGGGAGTTGTAGACACAGCTGTAGCAGAGCCATTTCCGCTAGGCTCTCTATAAATAAAGAGATGATAAATCTCCCTGTTACGTTCCGGGGAGGCCCCTCTAGGAGCAGGACCCGGGGTGGGCTGGAGGCAGCGCAGGACGGTGCCAGCACCAGGAGGACCCTTCGTGGTAGCTCCTCAATGGCAAAGCTGCTGTGGCTGCTAGGTGGCCAGTAGTGCTGGTCACCAGTTTTCTGGAGAGCAAGCAAAGCAATCCTGGCATTAGATTTATCTAGACTAGACTAGACTTATCATAAGTCATTTAGACTTTTCTCCCCAGAAAAAGCTGTTTTTCTGGACAGCAAGCAAAGCTATCCTGGCATTAGACTTACCTAGACTAGACTAGACTTATCGTAAGTCAATTAGACTTTTCTGCCCGTTGAGATAAAGGAGCAGTGATTGGGAGAAGAGGTGTGAGGCTGGTGAGAATTGGAATGGGGATCGGCTTGGAAGTGAAAATGGGGCTGTGGACGCTTCARACTTGGTTTGGTGAGACACGAGGTCCCTGAACTGGAGCTTCTCCTGCTGTGTGTGAGTGACGCTGATGGTTTGCGTGGGGCATGCGTAGGCTGCAGCATCGGCTCAACCCAAATCTTCTGGGATGCTCCCAGCCAACYTTCATGGCCACTGTGTCCGTCCATGCATCAGGAGTTGGCCCTTCACAGGTTTCAGGCCCCCATGGCCAAGCACAGAGATAAAAGATCCACGTGTGACCCCAGGAGGATCCCACATTTGTCCTTCAGGGCTTGTGATTTGAAGCGGAGGAGGAAGGATCCTTCTCCCGTGTCCCAGGAGGCGCCTCAGAGCCTACSCCCCTAGAAAAGACTTCTTATCTTTGATCCTGACCCTTTTTAGTAAAACAAGCCCRAAGACGAGCAAGGCTCTGGCCGCAGGACACCACGTCCTTGGTTTCTCTGCGTGGAGTTCTTCCAGCCCCGGTTCTGCCCAGCTGAGCAGCAGCAGGGCTGCGAGGATGATGAGGGGCCGGGAACATCTGCCCTGGGAGCAAAGGCTGAGGGAGCTGGGCCTGTCCAGCCTGGAGAAGAGRAGGCYGAGGGGGGACCTGAGCAGTGTCTATAGATACCTCAAGGGAGGCAGCGAGGAGGATGGGGTGGCCTCTTTGCAGCGGTGGACAGCAACAGGACTAGAGGAAATGGCTAAAAAAAAGAAGCACTGGAAGTTCCACAGGAACTTAAGGAAATAGTTCTTGACAGTGAGGGTGCCAGAGCCCTGGCACAGGCTGCCCAGGGAGGCTGGGGAGTCTCCTTCCTTGGAGGTCTTCCAAACCCGCCTGGATGCAGCCCTGTGCCCCGTGCTCTGGGTGACCCTGYGWGTGYAGAGAGCTGGGACTAGGTGATCTCTGAGGTCCCTTCCAACCTCARGCATTCAGTGAYTCTATGAGTGGTGGCTGCTGTGAGAACGTTTGCAGGGACGCTCCAGGAGACACAACATTGTCCCTGCTCCCCGCTGCCGGCAGCTGCGGGAAGAGCCAGCRCCTTTGCTCCTCACGGAGAGCCCCCCAGAAGCTGCGTGCGTAACGTGCGCTCCCTTCCCTCCGCAGCTCACGCTCCTGCTCATCCTGGAGGACAAACTGCACCGCCAGCTGAGCTACGACTTGCTGCCAAGTAGGTTGAGTCGCGAGTTCAACCCGAGCGCTCGGGCACCGGGTTTTGTGCTCCCACGCACTGAGCTTGCAGCCCTTGGCCCGTGCTCGTGTCCTGCGCCCTGGAGCGAGCGCCCGGGCCAGCGGGAACGCGCAGGGCCCGCTGCGTGTCTGCTGAACTGACCCGTCCGGGTTGTGCTGGGCACGTCCTGCCTCGCTGCCCGGCTCCGGGGCCGTCTCCGCGACACCTTTCCAAGGAGCAGGTCACTCCGGAGGAGTTACCCAGGGGCTCCTCGTTGCCTCGCAGCCAAACCAGAGACCCAGCCTGGAAATTCGTGCTTGCAGCCAGGACGGCTGTGCGTCGCCTGTTGTGCTGCTGACTGTTGTGCTTTGTTGGTKCTGCTGCCCTTTCCAGCCCCAGACCGGCTGCAACAGTCGTTCCCGGCCCCGCTCTGTGCTCTCTGCACCCCAGGACTCTGTAACAGTTGTTCAGGCAGCYGCAGCCTGTAGCCTGTGTGCACAGGCAGAGTGCGGGTGTGCATCAGGCAGCCTGTAGCCTGTGTGCACAGGCAGAGTGCRGGTGTGCGTCAAGCAGCCACAGCCTGTGTGTACAGGCAGAGTGCAGGTGTGCGTCAGGCAGCCTGTAGCCTGTGTGTACAGGCAGAGTGCAGGTGTGTGTCAGGCAGCCTGTAGCCTGTGTGTACAGGCAGAGTGCAGGTGTGTGTCAGGCAGCCTGTAGCCTGTGTGCACAGGCAGAGTGCGGGTGTGCGTCA